CAGCAACATTATTTGATCCCTTCATATCCTAACTCTCTGACAGAAGCATGTCGTGCGTATATATACCAGAATATAGGGCTGGGGCTGTAGGTAAGACCATAGGCCTATATGGGCGTGGGCACTGGCGGGTTGGGGTGGGGGTGGGGGGCTAACTCCCCATGTTCTTCAACTACAATTAAGTCATTCGGGTAAAGCGGTGGGTGGGGATAAAGGGAATTCCTTCTTCCGGTCGCCAACGGCTGTTAAGGACTGTAAACAACTGTACAACGCTTGCTTACCTCCCGTAAACTTTAGGGCTTATTCAGCATATTTAATAGGTCTACATGTAGGCCTAATCTGTGCACAGCCTATGCTACTTTCTTAGACAAAGTATATGTGGTGTACATGTAGCCTGCATGTTGTGCTCTCTGATATCAGCCCCCCCCCCCCAAAATAGTATACAGATTTTAAGTATAGAACATGGCCATTCCCCAAAGTTTCAGTTATCTTGGTAGCTTAATTCGCCTAAAATTTATGCTCTTTAACAAATATGCTCCAAATCGCCTCCGCGCGCGGCGTTGGAGACACACTTGCATGTGTAGGCCTACGTCGCGCAAGTAACGAACACATTCCTCTTCTGGGATTTTTTCCTGATTTTCGCTGTGATCGTTGCCTTGATTTCACCAATTTTTGAGGGTTTTATACATTAACTTTGAGATACCCTCCCAGATCTCCCAAATAAAAATCTGACGTCAAGCAGTAGGCCTACCAACAGCCTCTTTTTTACGTAGGCCCTATACCTGCATGAATACCCTATATGGTGTACTCATGTAATGTAGGCCAACGTGTCGGCTATTATAGAAACAATTTATTGTGCGTTTTTATTCATTACACCACGGTGGAAGTGATGAACAAAAGACTCAGACGTGGTGTAACTCGCATAACCGCACGTCTAGCATGAATGCGTTATAACCCGCTAATGGACCGTGGTCTAAATAAGATAGATCCGTCGTCAGCGAGGGTTATGTGACAACCACTCGTGCTACGCACTCGTGTATGCCACATAACCCTCGCTGACTCGGGGTCTATCTATTACATACATACCTAGGGATGTTATATGACCGTGGCGATATGCTGATCACTGAAGCCTGTTCATTTAGCCAAACTTCAGTGAAGATCGAGGACAATCTCGAGTCGCTACCCATAAAATATCTCGCTTCACTCGACATTTCTGCGAAGCATCTCTCGGAAAACTCGGATTTAACCTCGATGCAGTCTAGAATTTTCAAGACTACATTTTGGTTAAATCAGTCGAGGTCTCTAAAATGCTGAAAGCCGAAGAAAGAGAGTGATAATGTGACCTTCTTAGCATCAAGAGAATAGTGACTTTACTCTTAAAAATTAAAATAAACTTTTTACGTTCAACAATTATTATTTATAATTTCATTACACTAAGTCATATCATATGGGTATGGTTTGAAGACGGGAATTAGTTTACATTTAAGCCACGCGCATACAAATTATTTGTAAATCTATAACTTTTTAACGAGGGTTGTGTTATTTACCTTTTGTTTTCAGGGGCGTAACCAGACCTTTTAAAATTGTATGCAGATTGTCAAAATTCCCAAGTACGGCTTAATGTACACTGACGCAAACAGATAACATTAAATGTGCCAAATATCATAGCTCAGTTTTCACCAGTAATAAAATCATCAGTTAAAGATAAATACATTACGGCGATTGAATTAAGTTCCATTACATTATTTCTCCAAACTAAGTTTTTCCAGGATTGTGGTACAGGCTGTCCAAAATTGGGGGAGGGGGGGGGGGTAAAAATAAAATGCAAAAAAAAGTTAAAAGATAATAAATTTAAATGGGGAGGGAGGGTTAAAAACAATCGATAACGATCTTTCACTGACGCTCTTTCGCGAACGAACTCCCTTGAATGAATATGAAAATTGCCTTCTCGTCTCACTTAGACCAAGAATGATTGCCGGTCTTCCGCAAACGAAAGGCATTGAACGAATATGAGATTGTAAACGATCTCCCGCTGAGGATACGAAAATTCATAAAACGTTCACGGCCGCCCCGACAAGCCAAGACGTCATTTAAAAAAAAAAAAAAAATAGCCGTCTAGCCGTCTTTGAAAATATAGGCCGTCCGGTGATGTCAGCGGCCGTCCAAATGACGGCTGGACGGTTCGCTGGGAAATAACTTCATATTTATTTAACTAGGGGCTTACTGACACCAACTTTGGGCACTTATGCAGATTGTGCTTGCTTGTATCGAGCTAAATTCTGAATAACAGTGCGGTAGGCCTACAGCTATTCGATGTTGTTTGCTGCAGTTATCCTGAATTCTCAGAAAATAATCTGAAAAGCAGTTGATCGTTGTACTATTATTACGCCTTCTTGCTATTCACTTCGCTTCTCTAAGTTGAACTTACATACCTGTACAGTGTATGGTATCACCCAGCTTACATGCGGGTGCATGGCTCCCCAAATTAACCAATTATATTACAGGATAAAGATCTGATATATCTAAGTTTAATCATTTGTTTGTAATTTGTAAAAATTGCCCATGCCATCTTGTTACTTTGAAGGGTTAAGCTGGATCAAGTCCTGTCAAAATTCTTTGAAGCTTTGTAAGAAAAATCAATCTTCCTTTGTTTCTCTTGCTCCTTGTTTATCCCGATGTTCAGATTTTATCTAGTGCCCCCAGGTCTGCTGGAACTTCTCTTTGAAAATAACGCACTGGTAGATTTTTACCTGAGATAAATATCGCCAGCGAGAGTGCGTTCGATACACTCAAGACAAAGGCTACCAGAGAGTTGAAGGGCACTTAACCCTCTAATTAAGAGGTAAATGACGTTTAAGCTGATGTCCGATTCAGATGGGACTTCTGATTGTAACTAGTATTGTTTACCTCAGTTCTGTGAAAGCAAACGAGAAGGGTGTCAGAACAATGGTGCATATATAAATTATATAGATGATTTGTACATTCAGGTGACGTTAACTTGCAACCGAAGTGGATTTTCAATTATTTTCCTCGAAAAATACACTGAATTTATAGAGAATATTATCAAGGTTGGCCCAAAAAATTGTACGCACAGTGCATTCGTGCGTATGCCTGGTTACGCCCATGGTTTTTAAGCTGTTCATTCTTCCTCTTTATCAGTAATATCGGTAAAAATCAAATCTATCCCCCCTTTGAACTTGAAATTGCATGTAGCACATGAAATAATGCTCATGTATATTCCGAAACCGCCTCGTAATAAAAAAATATCACTAAAACGTAGAATTATTACTCCTGTGAACTTGTAATAAACATACGTCTGACTTTGACTATATTCCGAAACTGCCTCGTTGTCGGAAACATCACCAAAAATGAAATTTCTTTCTCCTTCGTTCTTGTTTATCAGAAATGTAACTAAAAAGTAGAGGATTTGCTTTGGGATCTTTTTTCCGCAGCAGGCTCGAGCTCAGCTGAGACGCGCATGGTCATTGTGGACGGTTGAACAAATACTGTTCAAGCAAGGTGTTATATAACTCCTTGGTTCAAGCCAGTTGAACTTCCAAAACAAGTATTTAGCAAAAATTGACCAAATTGGTCAGACATTACGTAAGAATTTGGCGGGAGGTGACCAGCGCACGTGGACGAGTTTATTCCGTATAACATCTCTAGAGCGTGATATAGGGTCACTTTATTCGGTTTTAGATGTGTTTTAGGATAAAATGACTGTATTTTTTTCTCGGTATGTGTGTCAAATAATACACTGTCACCCTCTCGCGATATATGCCATGAACACCTCTCGCTGACACTCGAGGTGTTATGGCATATATCGCTCGGGTGACAGTGTATTATCTCACATTTGCTTCATACAACAGCTAATATTATAAACTCGTTACAGATTTTTTTTGAAATTTTTGTTATTCATTTTTATTCGTTCAGTTGTTTGGTCTGACGTGTTCGCAATATAATCTTTTCAGGTGTATAGGAACTTTCCAAGAGAGCTAACAACCAAGACAACACACCAGAGAATCTCGTCCATATTCCACGTTCCCTCACTATGGATAAAAAGCGTGCTGTGGCGCCATCTATGACCCAACCACGTGAACCTAAGGTAGCCAAGCGTGAGACTGCCGATGACAGAGGCGCGAGTGCAGCGACGTCTGCCGGTCATCCAGCGTACTGCCATTCTGAGAGTTGCAGAGGACTAAAATTGTCTGAAATGCTGGTGAGATTTTGGAGATAGTTCTTTTAAGGAGTTCACAACTGTAGCAGGAAACGGAGATGAACCTTTTAACTGTCTTTGAATTTACATATGAAGCGAGGGCGGATTCCCTATACTGCATTGCATGTAAACCACTAACTAGTTTCTCACACGACTCAAATGAAGTCGACTTGCCAAGGGATAAATCGAATAAATCACTAAATCAGCCATAAAAAGCTTAAAAGCTGCACCTTCTCCATATTCTTGGTCGTAAATTGGCCTTATTTATCCGTCCCTCCTTTTCGTCAAAGTCTGTCAAACTGGCGTAATGTACAGTGCATTGCTGCGCGCACTATAGCACAGATATTCAAATTAGTTGCCGAATATGACCAAGGGTTATATATAGCACAGAAAGAAAGCAAAATATACACTTTTCGGGAAATGTGAAACGATATACCATTTGATTTTTCTTATTCTAGTTATGTTAGTTGAAACTGTATGATAGTATTTGGTCGGGTTTTGTGGCAAAAATTTGATTCCTAATGCCTCTTTAATTAAAGGTTTTTGGCCAACAATCACAGTAATATAGTGTGCGTGCTAGCTGTGGCTAACACAAGCACGAACTTAACACCTAGTTTAGATTATAACTCAAGAACCAACGAATTAATTTTGAAATCTATTGTCGAAGGTTTTTTACAGGATCAATATTTGATGTGGAATTAGCGGTATTGAAAAAAAGCTTTTAGTTTTTTTTTTCTTTGGAGTGATCCTTCAATGATCGAAAAGATATTTCTTGATAATAAATGGACATTTCTTTTGCAGCATAAACACCAGCAGTGCGTTGAGGAGATCGACAAACTAAACGAGATTATTCACTTGTCGAATGATGAGAAATTAAAAGAAATCCTCAGGTTGAGGGAGGAATTGAAATCCATGAAGTCGTTGATGTATGATTCTGTAAAGGAAAAAGAATCAACGCTCATCGAAGGAAAAACGCTAAAGGAGCAGCTGCTGAAAACATCTCAGATTGCAAAAGACATGGCTCAGAAACTTGAAAAACTGGAAAAACTGAAGCAAAAGACTACCACAAGTGCTGTTGAAAAGGTCTTTTTCTATTTATTATTATTATTTTGAAAATGAAACCTTGAATTTTCTGTAAGCACGGTGCGAATACTGATGCTGTAACATTATTATTTCAATATGTTTGCATGTTCATGGCATTATTTTTCTTATCGACAGGAAAAGAAACAAACTGAGGAAGAGATACAAGTTCTGAACAAAAAACTTCACACGGTAAATCAGCATATGTTATTTCTTTCATATTGATTTTTTTGTTTATCGTGTATAAGTAATGGGTCAGTCGGGTACGGCATTTGCAAAATTGTTGTATGTAATAATGACAAGGCTATTTAAAGTTGCACTCCGGATTATGCACGCTTGCTCCGTAAGATGTCGCCTGTGGAGGTCGGGCAGCACAGCACATACAATGGCGAAGGTGACAGGTCCTTCCAAACATTTTTTCATAACTGTGATTATTTTTCAAGCTGTGCACTGTCAGTTACCTATTTATTTTCCCTCCAGGTGATGGGCGGTAACATGCACTGGCAGGTGTACAACACTCAGAGGGACCACTACGTCAACACCCTCATGCAACAGCTGGATCACCTGAAGCTCGAGGTCTCCGAGTCCCACGAGAAACACGCGGGATCTTGCGACGAGGAAATGCTAGAGGACGCCGAGAGGACGATTGCCAGTGTTAAGGCGAAAATTGACGAGATTCATCGAGAAAAGGAAGTGGTACGCTATACAGCATGCGCGCGCATATGCACACGCACACACACACACACACACACACACATAAACACACTTTCTCACCCAGTTTTCGACCATCGTTGGTTAACTCGGCATTCCATCTTTCAGCGTTTGATAAAGCGATATCAGGGTTTTAAAATTTTATGTAGTTTTTATTACGAAATGTCAAACCTGTAATTGTTTATTTAACACTGCATTTTGCCGAATTTTAAAAGAAAAGAAAGCCATTGCATAAGTAGACGCCCCCCCCCCCCCCACACACACACACGCATCCTTTAAACGTAAATAGAAGTTCATGCCTAGATTTAAGTCCCTTTCTGTAATCGCGTTGCTAAGTAAACGTCGATGCAGTAATTACCTATACTGGTATGTTTATTATGCATGTTTTGAAATGTTCTTAAAAATAAAGCAATTGCTTTAGAGATCTCCCCAAAAATCCTTAACAGTGATAAGAGGCCGCGGGCACTACCAAGTGAAATACGGTAACCAAAATTCACGGTTCGCATGTACAGTAAAATTGTAAAATCAAACAAAATATAAAATAGTACAGTCAGAGAATATACCTCATTGGTTTGGGAAATTTCAAGTTATGACTGCCCTTTATCTTTGCCAGTTAAAAGACGAGCTCATGCACTTTAAGGAGCTCTGCGACGTTAAGGATCGCCATATTAAAGAACTGGAGACGCAGGTGGAACGCCAGAGCCCGCCCAGCTCCCCCACCACGGCGGGGCTCCTCCGCACCAAGATCCAGATATGCACAGAGGACTTCGAGGCCGAGAGGAAAGACAGAGAACGGGCACAAGCACGAATACGAGACTTGGAGGAGGAGATTGAACTGCTGAAGAGACAGGTTAATACTAGTATCTTAGTATATGTACTAAATGCCTCTTGCATGATACAACGTACATAATCATGTAGATTTCTCATAAGTGATTTTAACGCACACCGCCATTAGATAGTAATCATGTGGTAAAAATATTCGAAGGCTGCCATCTCAATACGTCATTTCGCTTCCACTTCAGCTGTCAATGTTCCAACAAACTGCCATGTCTCAGATGAAGAGCAGACGAGAGGCGGCCTTGGCGCGTTACAGGCGAGAATACGAGGCACAACACCCAGAATACCGGGAGCAGAACCGTTGCTTGGAAGGTATGTTACTTCTGTACAGTGTTTAAGCTTACGTCACTTTAAAATTCAACGTCAGCGGTGACGTCATGTAGCCGTAAAAAGGTGACGTCATAATATTGCAGTTATAAGGTGTTTAATGTCAGTTTCAAGAGAGTGTAAAAAGTTATTGACTGCTGTATTAACCCTTTTTACTGTGAATTTAGGTAAAAATGATGTATACTTGTTATACTTGATGTACCCTTTCTATTCAAATGACCAACCCCCTTTGTACTTTTAAAAGAAGAATAATCACAGTACTTCACAGAACTGTTTATTTCTTTTAGGTAATACAGTGGTTGACAGAAATGATTTGGAAGGCGGATTTGACGAAATTGACTAGACGATAATCTCTGTATTTCATGTCTTGACAAAGCGTGACTTTGGTTCTCAATGAACGTATACATGTAAATATCGCAGTCGACGACAAAATAAATAATCACATTAATAAGTAGCATTTCTCTGCAAATCGCCCTATAGAGTATTGCTTGCGATGGGACCAGAACGATTCAGGAAAGATTTGTTAGTGAGGTTTCAAATGTCCCTATCTGACAACCAATGTGTAGACTTCTTAAATTTGTCTCGCCCAAAACTTATCGGAAAATAATGTTTAACTGTTAAATTTACTTTTATATACATGTGCATTTTTATATTTTTACAGAATCAAGCGTTTATATAACAAATGTTCAGGAATTTCATACAAGGACCCTTGTATCTTTTACGCACCTTAAGTAGTTTTATATAGCACATATTAAAAAAGGAAAAAATTAACACATTAAAAAATATTGTTGGCGAAGATGCACGTGCTCATGTCTTTCTTATAAATCCAACTTATGATTGTACAAGTCAAGTATTGGGATGTTTATGGGCAAGAAATTAGCGTAGAAAGCACGCTTTTTCCCTCCCAATAACATAGCATAATCAACAAAACGACAAAAAATTCCATCCATGTGACCTACGTATCCTATTGTGCTACATATAATGGTAAGAAGCTCGTCCACTGATTAATATTTGCCTAGTTTTACCAATAAATTTTTTTTAAAATTGAAATGAGACCCTTTGTACTAGGCCCGCCAATTGTGCTAGTTGTGAATGACGCATTCGTGTCGCAGTCGTTGATACGAGGGAGGGACAGGTTGTGAATCTAACGCACTGTGGCACCTTCTTTGCCGGCTGCCTCCTGAATACGTGCTGTTTCGTCTGAAAACGGATATAAGCCACACTAGGCGACCATAATGTGAAAAAATAAAGCAAGAAAGAATAAAAATTAAAGTAACATTAATGATTATAGTGTCAATTAAAATTCAACGTGATTGATAAATCCATCTAAATTAAAATCACGCAAATGATTATGATAAAAATGCGATAGAGAGAAAAATGAGTAAATTATATAGATAAAACAATCGTTGGTTTAACCAACTGCATGGGGGGGGGGGGGGGGGGGGCGGCTTTGCATCCGCAACACCCCCCTTCAAATAATCCTGGATCAGCCCCTGCATTGTACATGTAGCCTTACATATCGGTATGTTTTCAATTTGGGACTGAAAATAAACAACTTATAGTAAACTGGTGGCTGACCGGTTCTGACAGGTCGATACCCAAATAAACATGCTTTGTGCTTGCAGAAATATCCTCACGTGTACAATATATATATAATTATTGTCCTTGCAATGTTGTTGAAAGTTTAGATAATACCAAAACACAACACGGGAGCTGGCACGTGTGCGTGGTGCGTGACGTCGTATATTGGCACCAGTCTGTTCGCTGGCAACAGTGAAACTACTCACTTCAGATCAGAACAGCTCGGGTAAGTTAAACGCGGGATCATCGATTTTCTTTACTTCCTTTGCTTTGTGTTCTGCTGCAGTGTCATAACCACTCACAAATCGGCCATATGAGCACATGAATTATAGAAAAGATACTAAGTGTACATGTATAGAACTGAGTTAAATGTGTGTATGAGCTAAAGACTGTTGGAATTTTCACGTGCTGAAAATTTTGGGTAAGCAGCAAATCCTCACGTACACGTACGGTATAGCATGCAGACTTGAATCAACGGCATATTGGTTTCATTAGTCTTTTCAAATGCAGTAAAAAGGCAACACTTTAATTGTAGTGGCTGTTTGATAGGCGCATTTATGCTAAGGCTGTGAAAATTAAAAGATAATGTTAAGCTAGTTTTATTTACGTTTATGCATTTATATGAACGTGCGCCAGATCCAATTGGTAGTGGCCACTGTTTGTTTTTCATTATTTGCTTTTTTTTTCATAATATAATAGCACTTGCATTGATCCTTGCTGTGTTGCCACCTCGGAGTATTGTTAGGTCTTATCTAAGACGTGCAGGCATTCTCATTGTGTTCAGGCATACATGATTCATACATGAATTCATATAACTGCTAATAAGACACTATATTCAACAGATCTACCTGGTATATATATTTTTAGTACTGTCATGTGAATTGCCAGCTCAATCGGAGTACATTATATTATATTTGGCCTACATGCTAAATATCGCCCAAACATATTGAAACAGATGCTGCAGCAAGTACAGCACAGCCCTAATAAGACTGTAGACTTATAAATGCACAAGTACATGTAAGTGTAGTAGGGCCTATATACGAGTTTTGTAGAACATGGACCTGAGTACTAACAGCTTAGGTGACCTTGTAAAATGTCTTAATGTGGGGTTAGTGGATCAAGGCACAGCTGAAAGCACAAATTCAATGCGTTCAAGGCAGCAGTATAAGCAGATGGCAAGCAGATTTTTATTCCTCTTGGTTTAAATGTATGTATTAGTTATAGCAAGGAGTTACAACTCCTTGGTAATAGAAGCATGCATGTTGGTAGTCTTGCATATTTCTTTTTTTCTTGTACTTACTGGTAATATCATTGAAGGTCACAGATCTAGGTTTGCCTTAGATTCTACATAATATAGTCATCTATTGGAGCCAGGGGTTGTGGTCAAGGGGGGGCCGTAGCAATAGTCCGAAGGTTCAATAGTCCGAAGGTTCAATAGTCCGAAGGTTCATTGGTCCGAAGGTTCATTGGTGAATGTTCACTGTAGAACCTTCGGNCAATGAACCTTCGGACTATCGAGACGACCCCGTCAAGGGGGGTATTAAGGTCAGCAACTGACCACCTTCTTAAAAAACATATATACCTCAAAAGCACAGGAAGTTATGCATGTGTGTATGTATGTATGTGTGTGTGTGTGGGGGGGGGGCAGGGATGGGGAGGGGGGCAGGGTTGCCAGTTTACTTTCTGAAGGGGAATTAGTCTGTTACATCTTGGGCAGAAACCCAGGACAGTCAACCGATGACCAGCTTCACAATTCATATGCCATCATTTGTTTCTCTCCCCCTCCCCTGCAATATACTTGTCTTTTTTCTAAATGTTTAGACCAGGCGTACCTAGCTCCTTGTGGTTTTTGTGGTTTGAGGTTTGTACCTCTTTTTTAAGAGTGCATGGTAAAATTTCCATTAGACACATGCAAGTTCAAGTGAGAGTCATATACAGATATTATGCCTTCAAACATTTAGCTACTCGTATATTTAACATCCCAATTTTGCAATTTCACAAAACGGCGCTGCAAAGAAAATGTTTTATAACCTGGCATCTAGGTCAGCTAAGTTGGCTAGGTCACCTGCACTCTCTGCCTCCAGAACCAGTTTTTAGGCGTAATACCCTGTTGACTGGCGTGATCCATGGTAACTCACTGTCAATATTGTCACAGCAGCTGCATGGCCCATATGTTGGTGATATTAACATGTTTATTAAATTGTTTCTGGCTGTGAGCACACAGGTAGTTCCCATTTAATTGATTCTCTCTTATCAAATGTCATTAGCATATATATTATATAAATATTAAGAATTCAATATGACATTGAAATACTTGCATCAGAATATATTCATTTGACTCCACAGCTACAGTCAATGATATACATTAATCTTTTAGCAGATTTTTATCAGTGCAGAAATTGATTATAAATCTAGGTTGAAAAAAGGAGAAATAATAAAAGTAAAGAAAATTAACCTTCAAAATTTTTTATTCAGATATACAAATATATCCCTATATATCCCTAATGTGCATATACCAGTGCATGAAGTGTACAGTAACTGTATCTGCATATATCAGATCTATGTTCAGGTAGACTACAGCATTTTACATATGGCTTGCTGACATTTGGAATAGTGTACAGGTCAATACATAAACCATGTTCAATACTACATGTAAGGCAGTATTTGTATATATAATATTGACGAGTATTGCCCTAATTTCTAATGCAGTCGGGTTACAAAACGGTTTGAGGTGAGTTCAAGTTCAGAGATGTGCTCCAATTTTTTTTTAATCGACTGGGGAAAATGTGATACTTTAATTTTGTGTGAGGTACATATCGTGAGGGTAATGAGGGGTGCTGAGAGAGAGAGAGAGAGAGAGAGAGAGGTATATATTTCTACCACACCTAGTGTTTCTGTAACCTTGAATCAATGCATCCATTATTGTAGTTTGAGTAGATATTGCTGTTTATATATCCCATATATCCTTGGGGAAATTAGGCAAATGGAAATCTCTCAAAAAATCAATATAGTATTTCTTGAGATGCTGAGTTATTGTACATGTATATAGGAGTATATGGCACTTGGCAATGACAATACATCTGACAGGTCATTATGTTAATGCATTTCAGGGATTCAGGAATATATGAGATATTAGATAATAAATCATATAAATAAATAAATGATTAGAAAAATTGATAGATTAGTAAATTATGTTAAGCAGAAAAGAAAGTAAGGTATATTTATGTTTTGAATAGAATTTAGAGGAATGAAATAAAATACTGTAAGAAATGAGAGTTGCTGGGTCAGTGTTTGTAATTTAAGATTCATGCAAAACATCTAGTGCACACTTGTGAAGTGATGCACGCTGCTTGAAAACTGATGTATGGGAAACATTAAGGACATAATTGTATGCTTAATATGTTTGCACTGTGAGAGAAAAGCTCAAAAGCTGACTTACCAGCTGTTGATGCTGTCATATGGTACAGAGGGGAAATAGTGTGATTTTCTGAAGTTATGCATTTTGCTTATTTTCTCCCTTTATACATGTAATATATGTTGTCTAGTTAAGACTATAATCCACTCAAATTAAACTAAATTTTTGGACACAAAATCAAATTGATTTTTTCACACCCTTATAAAATGGGCAACTTGTTTTTTATTTGTTTTAATTTTCAAAAAGAAGCCATTATTTGTAAGTAAATAAAGTTTCATTTGTCAGTAGTGCAAAATTGTCTGCTGACAGCCAGAATTCATCAGGGAAATGAGGGGTGTGGTAGGCATTAATTTTTTTTCTGTAGCAGTTGACAAATGAAATTTTATTTGTTTATAAATTGAAAACAAACAGCTAAAGAATTGTAGTGTTATTTCAAGTCATTATCTGTATGTTATGATTGATTAATTTTGTCTTTACAGATTAGATTCCAGCACTTATGCATATAATTGATTATCACCTTGTCAGTCATCCAACTGTCCTAGTAGACCATTCTCGTCAAATTGTGGAAAATTAATCGAGTCTAAGAATGGCTGGAATTTCATTGGCCAGAGTAGATGGTGAGGGCGTTGACAAATTACCCAGCGACCTTTATATTGGTTTGCACAACGCACAGGATCAAGATACCAGCGACCTTGAAGATAACAGTTTAAGTGCCAAGATGGAGATAGAGAAGCGAGAATTCTGTAATCTTGTGCGGCCTGATCTGGGGAATTATTCTGCAGCTGCTAATTTGGCACAAAATGAGGTAATTAGAATTAGAGGAGTTTTTGTTTTCAGGTATTAATAACAATTATGAGAGCTTCAGTATTCCGAATTTTTTTTTTCATTATTATTACTGTTCTTTATGTTTATGTTAAATGTGACATATTTATATTGAAATGTGTTTTGATACTACATGTAGTTCTTGGAATATGCCAGCATCTCTTGCATTAGCCTGAAAACAAATCAAAACCTCAGAATGATGTATGATATAAATATGCCAGCATTGTAAGCTAGCTACCTGTATATACATAAAAACATACATAATCATAGATAAACCATGACTAAGCAAAAAAAAAAAAAAAAGCACTCCAATGCTGCATGCAGTTTCATGGATAGCAAGTTCAAGTAGGTCCACAGATGACAGCACTATAGCTATTTAAGTTCCTTCGTGTTCGATTAAAAAAGTCCCTAAAATTTGAAAATTACCCATCAGATGAACAAAGCTAGAGCATGAGACCCTGTTTTTGTAAACCACATGTCGTGGTGCTCACATTATCTGTGTACTGAACAGCTAGGGCAGCCCTTGAAGATTTGGTGAACCGTGAAATCTTTGGTCTCTTAATTTATGGGTGCCTCCTAAGGACATGTACAGATAGCAGTCTCAAACAAAGTCTTGCTTCTGAGATATAGCATCTGTATCATTTATTCATTTTCTTTTTGTTATGAATACACTTTGTTCAGTTGTATCTATAATATATATATATATATATATATATATATATATATATATATCAGTGACCCTAATACATATATATATCTATGTCTACTATTTTATGCTAATACATGTAAGTAAAGGTTACTTATGCATGCAACATTGTATGTTATGGTTTCTGTTAAGTTTTTTTTTCTATCAAGTTTGTTTCCTTTTTCCCATATATTACATAGGGGTTTTATAGGACATGTATTTTGAGAGTCATATAGAGATCAGTACACTAGTGCATTTACTAGTGACCTACTTATGGATAGATAACATTATTGATCCAGCTTTAACTTATTGGGAACATTTACACTAGACAAAATTTAGTGGATTGAGTTTTGACTCATGTTAAAATTCAAGCCTTGGGCTGTACAGATACATACATAAAGCATGTGTAATTTTTTTCTTAAGTGATATATGGTCTATTTTTCTGATGACAAAAGCTAACAATATTTGAAAAAAAACTTAAACAATTTAATCATTGTATTTTTTACTTACTGTAATGTTGAATAAAATTATCCCACAATTAGTCTGCAAAAAAACTTATACTAGACTAAGAGTACATCTCGAATTACAATTAAAATGATCAAATTTAACATTCTTGTTCACAGTAATTCATGCAAAAAGTACATACAGCTATTGCTCCTTGCCTGCTTGAGATAAATGACATTTCATTAGTTTAATTGCCATTGCCATAGATTTGTTTGCAGTCCACCTGTGTATATGTAGTTTGAATGTTGCTTCCACTGCACACATCCGATATTAGGCCTGCACTTACTGATAACAGATGCAGACATTTTCTCCATACCTCTCATGACACAATTTGTTATATAATGTGTGCACACAATGAAATTTTTACCTTCCTGTTGTTGTTTAAATTAACATTTCTTTAGCTATTCAAGTTTAATTCAACCTGATAATAGCCTTAAATTTGGATGATAAGAAATGTACAGTGTAATTTTAAGTAATGAAAATTAATTAATTGATAAATTGAAATCTATGTATAGCCACATGCAGCTTGCTGACATTAAACCTTGTTTCTTTTTTTCTCCATCCAGCACATTAGGCAGCTGTTGAAGGAAGGTAAGAAGGTGTACCACTTTGGTTTTGGTCAGGCCCCGTTTCCCCTTCTTCACTGTGCCGCTGAGGGACTCCGGGAGCATGCAGAGGAAACGGCTTATCTTGCCACGCAAGGTTACTTTGATTTGTCAAAATATGGGAAAATGATATCACTGGTTGAAATACTTTTTTCGTTGTCATTTACTTAAAGAATATCTTTAATTATTTGTTAGGTTGATTGTAAAAAAAGATGTAAATTACAGTGTATATATGATATATCAAATTTTGAGAAGCACCAGTAGAAAATTGACATAATTTTTTCTGTCTGGTTTTGGTTTACATGTGGTTATCCAAATGAGTGAAGCACAAATTAATCAATACTTGGGTGAATTAATTGGATTTTTGAAAACATTGACTTTTTTCTTCTCAGGTATAGCAGAGCTGAGGAAGGGTATTAGCAGGTTTCACAGCAGACACGATGACCTTGACATTGACCCAGATAATATTGTCGTAGCTCCTGGAAGCAAGGAACTTATATTCCTGCTAATGAGTATATTCAATGGAGGTAAGAGGATTGTGCAGGTAAATTGCACTAGTACACTAGTGATTTTCACTGAGCCACTGNCTTAATTTATGGGTGCCTCCTAAGGACATGTACAGATAGCAGTCTCAAACAAAGTCTTGCTTCTGAGATATAGCATCTGTATCATTTATTCATTTTCTTTTTGTTATGAATACACTTTGTTCAGTTGTATCTATAATATATATATATATATATATATATATATATATATATATATCAGTGACCCTAATACATATATATATCTATGTCTACTATTTTATGCTAATACATGTAAGTAAAGGTTACTTATGCATGCAACATTGTATGTTATGGTTTCTGTTAAGTTTTTTTTTCTATCAAGTTTGTTTCCTTTTTCCCATATATTACATAGGGGTTTTATAGGACATGTATTTTGAGAGTCATATAGAGATCAGTACACTAGTGCATTTACTAGTGACCTACTTATGGATAGATAACATTATTGATCCAGCTTTAACTTATTGGGAACATTTACACTAGACAAAATTTAGTGGATTGAGTTTTGACTCATGTTAAAATTCAAGCCTTGGGCTGTACAGATACATACATAAAGCATGTGTAATTTTTTTCTTAAGTGATATATGGTCTATTTTTCTGATGACAAAAGCTAACAATATTTGAAAAAAAACTTAAACAATTTAATCATTGTATTTTTTACTTACTGTAATGTTGAATAAAATTATCCCACAATTAGTCTGCAAAAAAACTTATACTAGACTAAGAGTACATCTCGAATTACAATTAAAATGATCAAATTTAACATTCTTGTTCACAGTAATTCATGCAAAAAGTACATACAGCTATTGCTCCTTGCCTGCTTGAGATAAATGACATTTCATTAGTTTAATTGCCATTGCCATAGATTTGTTTGCAGTCCACCTGTGTATATGTAGTTTGAATGTTGCTTCCACTGCACACATCCGATATTAGGCCTGCACTTACTGATAACAGATGCAGACATTTTCTCCATACCTCTCATGACACAATTTGTTATATAATGTGTGCACACAATGAAATTTTTACCTTCCTGTTGTTGTTTAAATTAACATTTCTTTAGCTATTCAAGTTTAATTCAACCTGATAATAGCCTTAAATTTGGATGATAAGAAATGTACAGTGTAATTTTAAGTAATGAAAATTAATTAATTGATAAATTGAAATCTATGTATAGCCACATGCAGCTTGCTGACATTAAACCTTGTTTCTTTTTTTCTCCATCCAGCACATTAGGCAGCTGTTGAAGGAAGGTAAGAAGGTGTACCACTTTGGTTTTGGTCAGGCCCCGTTTCCCCTTCTTCACTGTGCCGCTGAGGGACTCCGGGAGCATGCAGAGGAAACGGCTTATCTTGCCACGCAAGGTTACTTTGATTTGTCAAAATATGGGAAAATGATATCACTGGTTGAAATACTTTTTTCGTTGTCATTTACTTAAAGAATATCTTTAATTATTTGTTAGGTTGATTGTAAAAAAAGATGTAAATTACAGTGTATATATGATATATCAAATTTTGAGAAGCACCAGTAGAAAATTGACATAATTTTTTCTGTCTGGTTTTGGTTTACATGTGGTTATCCAAATGAGTGAAGCACAAATTAATCAATACTTGGGTGAATTAATTGGATTTTTGAAAACATTGACTTTTTTCTTCTCAGGTATAGCAGAGCTGAGGAAGGGTATTAGCAGGTTTCACAGCAGACACGATGACCTTGACATTGACCCAGATAATATTGTCGTAGCTCCTGGAAGCAAGGAACTTATATTCCTGCTAATGAGTATATTCAATGGAGGTAAGAGGATTGTGCAGGTAAATTGCACTAGTACACTAGTGATTTTCACTGAGCCACTGTGTGTGCATGGTTTAGAAATTGTTGTGAAGAATCAGCTAGACCTAAAGAAAAGTGAAATCCCTTTGAAATTTATTTGTGCTCAAATGAATCAAAATTAAAGGCAACTCATCAGTAATCCTCAAAGAAGGTGCCATATAGTTACTTGATTACCATTGGTTGTGTTGGTTGACGCATGTTAGTTGTGCAGGTTGAGATAAAATAGAATGTGTTAGTTGAGAAATGAGTGAATGTGCTAGTTGAGATAATTGAAAGTGTCAGTTCACATTTCAAAGGTCCACTTTAATACTAGTACAGATGTAATACAGGTATGAACCTGGCACCCTCCCTTAGCTCCTCAGGTACACCCTTATCCTTATACTTACATGTATAATGGTAAATATTTTACTGTATTTTACTGTCCACAGACATTCTGATCCTGTCTCCTGCATGGACAACCTACCAGCCGCAGTCCGTGTTGACACATCACCGTCACTTCCTGATAGACAGCTGTGCTCAGAGGGGATGGAGAGTCACCCCGGAGGCCATTGAAAAGGTAACGAAATTACAGATGAATTATGGGAAATGCCCATGTGCTCATGGAGTATATACTGCGCTACATGTACATGTAAATACAGTACTATACTACTGTACATGCCAGCCTGTAGACACTGTGCAACTCGAATGTCACCTAAATTAATTTACCAGTAAAATTCAGACATATCTGCTGGAACATATATTTCTTTCATTGGTACATGTATTAGTTAAACTCTGCTGGCATTGCCTAATTTTAATCTTTAAATTTTAAAACTCAAACACATTTCCTTTCCCCACAGTTTCAGAGTTAAATGAGTACAGAGTTTAAATGTATATATTTTGATAATATAGTACAATATTTGTTTCAGAGCAACAGTGTAACTTGTATATGTTTGTCATGTAGACATTATTTTCATAGTTGGTTGATCTGTTATTAGAAATTAAAGCAAAAACATAATTATTATATTTATGTTAATTTTATTATTTTCTAAAATTTGACATTTTTTCTATTTATTTATACACGCAGGTGGTGAATGAAAATGATCTCAAGCAGAACCGGCTGATGATCATGTGTAACCCTGATAATCCAAGTAAGTTATGGCACCCTGAAGGTTTAGTTTACGTACTCTCACACATTCATTAGTACTAAGAGAAATGCAGGTTCATAAGATGCAAACAGGTGCCCCTGCATCAATGTTTACTACATGCAGCTGTTGGTAAATTAATACAAATATGGAATAGAGGCAAGAAACGTTTTGACAGAGTTATAACTGACAGTGTGTCAAAAGTCCACTACCAGTAAAAGTTATAAACTGATAACTGTATGCTGTTTCTGCAGCATTAAAGACAAAAATGTTGAATTTCTTGGAGCTATATTTCAGCCAATATTTTGGGTATAAATGATAACGTATCATATTTCTACCCAAACAATTTTCTTAACTTTGAGGTTGAACTGCATTATGACTCATTTTAAATAATAAAATGAGTTTTGTAACAATTTGTGAAAGATTTATAGTGTTAGAGAAAGTTAAAAATACTGACAGCTCATGTAGGATGCGGTTGCACCTTAAAACCTCATGCACAGCTCATCTTTACGTACAAGCACAATAGTAACAGACAATTTACAATGTCATAACAACCAGTTTGCTTCTACGTCTGCTACAGGGGGGCATATAATATTACATACAGGATCCCCAGTTGAGAAAAAGATGCCATTCCCATAATTTAACAGTTGTTCTTGCTATTATGGGTTGGGGAGGGGGGTCTTGTCTGTCTCTCCTTCTAGAAATGTTCCAAATTTCTGGTTGGACACCTGCTAGAAATGTACCAAATTTCTGGTTGGACACCTGTGAGTCTTATTTATTTCTTGTCAAGTAATGTTTTTCACTATCATTGTATTGACAGTTTTGAACTGGCTTCCCTTCCTTTGCTCTTTTAAGATCCATTTAATTTGTTTCAGCATTGCTATGTTGATTGAGTGTAGAAGTCTGAAAAAATAAATAGTTTCTAAAAAGATGAAACATTTTAAACCTTATGATCGGGGTTGAGAATTTTAACCCTGCCTTAATTCATGACAATGAGCTCTGGAAGTTTTTACCATCGTTATTTACAAAAGGCAATGAAAAGACTACAGCACCAATTCAAGAATTGTTTGGGTATCTACTTCAGAAAATGCAATTAACTTTGGACCTATCTAATCTGAAGTTATATTGAGTAAGTGTTCAAGTTAAAAAATGCATTTGGAAGCATATACATGTATAAGAGTATAATGTGGTCTTATGCCATTGATATTGCTTACATGATCATGATTAGCAACACTGATTGTTATGACAAACTTTATTTTTTAACCCAAATTAAAACACACAATTACATACTATATACTAACATACTACTGAAATCTATGTACATATTTAGATGAACTTTTATGAAATCTGCTGGATTACATGATTGTACAAGGCTTGAGCTTCCACTTGAATGATTTTAATTCGAAACATTTGCCAGTGGAATGTATGTATTATTATTTTGGCTTAAAATGTAATAGATGAATAGATATATTAAGTGCTTTTTTTTTTTTGCAAAATGCATCTGATCAAAATGTTTTTTTGTTAAATTGCTTTGGTTGCTGGCTGAATTATCATGCCAGTGTGAGCCTTGCCTTGGCTGTAAGCTGTCCTTTGATTGGTCAATTTAATCAGTTGTCATAACTTGTGTCTGTATGACGATGCCTCGTTATCTACTCTTGGTTTTTCAGCGTGAAGCAGGAAAGGTGTATGAGATATTGGTTCATATGGCTTTGTAGTCTGCAGCTTATTTATTGGGGAACATGTTAGAGAAAAACACAGTTCTTGGTCAGAGAAATTAAAGGGGGTGGATGATGCAGTTAAGGGGGTTGCTATCAAGGACCAATAATCAATTTTCTTTTTGACATATTTTGTTGAAGGAGGACTGTATAGAAAAGTTTTTTTTTCATAAAGAAAAGTAAATTAAAATGGTGTCCGTAGAGTTACTATAGTGAGAGCACCATAGTCACCAGGCTATGTACCCGGTATCAACTGAAATAAATTTTAAGTGACTTGGACAGGGGAGGTTATTCTGAAAATCACTTTGAAAGTGTAGAGTAAACATGCAAATGCATATATCTCACATTTGTAATTGATCTAATAACATGCTTATGTAAAAGTCTGCTGTGAACTTTTCTGTTGTCTATAGTGCTACATTGTAGATATATACTGTTATTTAATACAATGTAAGTCTGCAGACTATACAGTCATAATAGGTTACATGTATATAATGTGGAGGCTTTAAGAGAAAGGACGATCCAGTTTTGGATTGTCTACTGCGCGTACATGCCAGATGTGGTGCATTCATGACGATCTGCAAGCACCTGCAAGCGGATCGTTGCCGGCTGCCAACTCTGCATGATACGTGTCACGGAGGCATGCATGACGTGCCTGCGAGAGCGTGTCCCCTTCCTATTGCTATGGTTTCTTTCCAGCTGGCGTGTGCTACACAAAAGCCCAGCTTCATAGAATCAGGTTACTTTTTATGAGCATTTTGTTTTTTGGTGTATTTTAGTTTTTATGGTATTAGAATCTATATAATGTGTTAATATGGTAAAGAAAGGGTGAATTTTTAATTAGAGTATTTATTACTATTACAGATTCAAAATCATCTGTTTACTAAATAGGTAGAAGCAAAGCAAAAATAATAAATAAAATAATTAGTGAAATAATGACAAAGAAAGAAGTAAATAAACAATAAATGAATAAATAAATGAACAGAAGTGGTGTTTATATCTTTAAAGGAATCATTTGATGCAATTACACTTTTTCTTTTCCTCTTTTATCTTAAAAGGTGATGATAATAATAATTGAAATGTATCGAGTAACTTCATCTGAAAGTCCTTTCATACAGTGCTTTTTCTTTCTAAAAAAGTCGTCACATACTTCCCTTATGGATTCAAAATCATGTTTAGGTATAGAGAGTAAAGGGAATTATGGGAAATAATAAAGTAATATGGTAAATAAATAAATAAATTCACAATTCGAAGTTGACAGGTCATTTTTCAGTCATTGTTAAAAGGTAGTAATGGTAATTAAAATGTAAATTCAGATAAGAGTTTCAAAGATATTTTATCACAGAATTGCTTTTAATTTGCTTCTCAAAAAAGTTGAAAATTAATGGTGACTATTGTTTTGTTGATCTCAGAATAAATACAACATTTATTAAAAAGAGTAATCTTCTTTAGATGTGCATGGAACTCTTTTATAGTTTTCATTCAAAATTAAGATAAAAACAAATTTGATAAATTGGATTTGATTTGGAATAATATTATTTTATGATTTTAAAGCCTAATTTAGCAAGTCTTAAACTAACTTAAATCAAGTCTGGACTGCTGTTTGTCTGATGTATACATGTGTATGTGATAAATAGAGCAAATACTTTTAGTCCATCTTTTCTATATCAATTTCATTTTCATATGTTTCTTAATTATTAAATCTGCCATACCACCCTCATTGCCAAAACTACCATCCAAGTATTTAAAATGAGTCAAATAATAATCTAAGAACTGATCATTGTTTATTAGTCTAAATTTAAGGTAATATAACAGTCAGTGTAGATGTGTTCACATTACACTCCAAAAGAACGTTTGTTTATTTTGTTGTTTGTTTACTTTTAGTGAGGTCTGCCGTAAGCACAACATCATAGTTCTCTCCGATGAGATCTACGCCAGGACGAAGTTTGATGGGAAACATGAATCCATTGGAAAGGTAAAAAAGGAAATGGCTTCTTCGTTTGTATATATATATATATATATATCTTTTAAAAATCGCTTTGTCTGAGTGTGCATGGAGTCAGTTGTGATTATCCTGCAGCTCATTCCATGAAGACATAGGTTAAACTAAATAGTTAAACTACATGTACATGAGTTAAATTAAAGATTTTCACCAGGTACAAGGCAGTTAAGTGTTTTGTGGTGATATATATTTCATGTGTTTTTTCACATCAGGGGATTGAAAAAATTGCAATTCGTGCTGTTTTGTTTTCTCAGTTCTATCCCGAGGGCACCATTATCAGCACAGGGTTATCTAAGTGGGCCAGTGCAGGAGGATGGAGAGTAAGTTCACAATGATGTTTTATAACAATAATTAAGACTTATAATGTGTATGTGTGTGATTTTGTGTGTATGCATGTTACATATAACATATGTTTTTACACTGGTGTCCATATTTGAGAGTTTTTCCTTTCCCATATTCAGATGAGAAACAGATTCACTGTTTTTTTTTAAAGATTTTTCTGATTTGATTAAGAAATTTCTATCAAGCTTTATGGGCAATTACTCAGGTGACCAAATTTTATTTGAGGGCTAGAATGTTATCAGTTTTGTGGTATAAGGTTCCAGAACTATTTTATAATTGTGATAAAAAAACATCATTTTATGACCATGGGTTAATGCACTTAAAAGAAGAAAAATAATATTTATATATACATTTACATCTAAATTAAACTCATAAGATGGACAACTAGTAATTTTTTTTGCCATAAATAACTTGACTCGTCATCATTTAGAAGCCTCTCAATGATGACTCTTAAGCAAAAGATTTAATTTCAAATTTTATAAATTATATCATACACTGTATTTAGCATGAAATTTATGATGTCTCATTCTTCAGCTTGGTTACCACATTTTTCCTCCCGAGTTAAAATCCTTAAGAGATGCCGTTAAAAGTGCTGCCACCCACAGTTACTCCTGTGCCCCTGCTCCCATACAGTACGCTGCTGCTAAGGTGAGTATAGTAACCTTAGTTTCCATAATTAATGGCTGCACACCTATTGTGAGATTAGAGTATCCATTGGCTCATTTAAGATCACGTGACCTCTGCAAGCCTTTGGAATATAATGAGTACATTCTGTCATAGGTTATAAATCCACTAATACCCTCAGAATCAGGCAAAATTTGTACATTAATTTGTTTGAAATATTTAAATGATGGATTGTGTGATATTTTAAATCTGGCTGTGCCAGTAGCAGCAGCAACAGCAAGTAAAATATGTTATTAGGTTTATTTTGTTTCTGAATTATAATATACGTGTTATCTTATTTTTTTTACATAAAAGTTTAAAAGATTTTAATTGATAATGGTGTAAATTAATGTTTTCCTGATCTTTTTTTCCTTAAAGCAGGTAGAAAACATATGAAAATGATAATGATAATTTTTTCTAATTTCTAGATGTTCAATCACACAGAACACTGCGATGACTATATTTCTCACACCAGACGCATCTATGAGGCAGTGGCAGAGCACACATACACGTATGTAATATGATATCTTTTTTTGTCTTGAATCATATGGTAATGACTCAATCTTTTCAATAGGAAAAATTAGGAATTTTACAGATAAAGTATTTTTGTAAGTCACAAATTCTTAAAATCAGAATATTCCTATGAAAGGTGGCAACACAATTGAAAAGCAGGTGACCCAATAGTTTTATTATATGCAATAAAAGCACCACAAAGTCTATATAATAATAAATTTTAAAGGTCTTTCATAATGATATAGTATAAGTTTCATCTTGCAGTGAGCTGACCTCTATAGGGGTAAAATGTGTGAAACCAGAAGGAAGCTTTTACATGTTTCCAGACTTTGAAATTCTGCGGCCCGCCCTGAACCGCAGAGGCATCAGGACGGGGGCGCAGATGTGTGCCGCGTTGTTGGACGAAGTAGCTGTCACAGTAAGCATTTTTATCCCCTCTTCACACGCATCAATAACAAACATGTCATATAAAGC